TCATGTAATATTTGTCCTTTTGTGACTGGGATATTTCACTCAGCATAATGTTCTCCAGAGTCAACCATTTTGAATAATATTGCATGAATTCCTTGTTTTTTAATGCAGCAAAAATTTTAAATAATATTTCTATTGGTGATATAATCTGTGCTATCCATCGGTTTGAATCCACCAGTGGTTCTATGGGAAGAAGATGGGCAGTGTCCTCCTGTGCAATATACACTCTCCAAAACCCCACTGGAGGTTCAATTCTGAATTGGTTCTGACTCTAAGACAATGACTTCGACTTTTGGTGCCATCACTGATGCTCATCTCTAATGAACTAAGAGATTGCAAAGAGTGTGAGGGTAGCACATTTTAGAAAGAGCAGACAGGTAGTGTCAATTCAAAAAACCTTGCAGACTTCCTGACAATTTAAAGGTGCTTCAACATGTTGTTAAGTGAGAAAAGGAACAAATCAATAACTAACTTGAACTGCTTGACAGGCCTCCAAGTATCTCACAGCATACATGGGAGAAATGGCCTCGTGATTGGTTCCTGAAGCTCTGTATTTTTCATAAGCTTGATCACATCTTGACTTCTAGTCCCTTCACTGCTACCATTTGGTCCTCTCTTTGTTGCCCTTAGTTATTGGTACCTTTACACAGAGAAAAACGTGGTCTAACTATAGCACCAAATCTTGGGTGCTAATGTTGGCTGGAAAGCATTTATTCATCTGACAGTAGCAGTTTCTGCATCAAAGACTTTCGTCTTCACTCTAACCGAAAGATATTCACTTAGTACCTTGAAACACCAAGATCTAATTATTATTATTATTGTATAGTCCTTTTCCCTGTGAAGGTGAAAATCTTATTAATGTTTTTATTATTTATAATATGTAAATTATAATTGATCTTTTTCTTCACTAAGTATACAAACTGGGTTTCAAGATTCTTTTTTAAAAAATATCTATAGATAAATCTTGGTATGCCAAATACACTTTTATCCATTCAATTTCACCTCATAGCTATTCTATAGAAGATCTGCCCTATACTTTCCACAGTTAAAAATCTTTGCCGAAACAGGGTTTCCAACGTTACCAGTCTTTATGTAAATAGACTGCCATACATTTCTCTCATGTAGCAAGTGGGTGTTGTAATCACTGCGCCACAAGGATGCCTTTATTTTATAAAGCTCTTTTAAAATTTAACCCCTGTGATGATAAGCTCACTTCTTTAAGTCTTTGTACTTATTATAATGATAAGCTTTCATTTAATATTCCTAATCAATTTTCATTACATAGTTG